CAATCCAATGTCACAAACGTGGGTAAATGTTAGTATGGAAAACAATATCTGGGAATTTAAGAGCAAGTGCTTCTATTAAGGTTTTAAACATATTCACACATTGGTGGTGTTACGGTATTTTTAGGAGTTAACATGAGAGAATCTTCTTTTATACTTTTTTTTAGAAATTTAAACAGGAATATTTCACTCCACAACTGAATGCACATAATTGTCCTGTGTCCTTCAATAAAACATATATACTGTATGCAGACTGTTTTGGTATGAGCTACCCAGTTTTGCATCCATAGAGATATCAATCCTTTTCCTGAATTTAATTTTGAAAAACTCAGCAACAATGTCTCTTTTCAGAGCTTGTGGCTCATAAAAATCTGAACATTGCAATGAGCAAGTTCATGGGAGAATTATTTTTTATACTACCTACAGCCACCACAGCTAGATAAGACTGTGGCTCAGGTGTGGGGTACAAGTGTTTACATTCTATCACACCGTCACAACCACAAGCTTCTTGTCATGGTTAGGTGCACGCTTCATTCTTCACTCTTTGGTTTCCACATGAGATTACTCACATCAAGGTTTACCACAAGGTACCACTGAGCTCCATTATATTTAAGAGATGTTCAGTTTTGGACATCTCTACAGCCAGTAAAACTGGCCAACTAACACTTAAAACAAATCTAGAAAGACAGATAGCACCACAGGCCAATGGAAAATCAGTAAATGTGATTTTGAGGTGAACTGGCCCTTTAAACTGCATCAAATTGATCTCTTAGATAATATCCTGCTGAAAGAATCCCTAACCATAAAATCATATTTATTGCACGGTCTTTGTCTCTTGTGCACACGTGCTGCCAAATCATCCACCTGCACACACATATCCCACTTATCCCTGTATTAGATTCAGGCAATGGCACTGGGACAAAGCTAATTCTTCATCTTCCGCTTCTTCCACTTGCCTTTCATCTCCCCCATTTTTCTTCCTCCCTCACATACTCGCTGAAAAGGATGTATCTGGTTCCGAACACGTGTGCCGGAAAAAAACACAGCCTCACCGGCCACCTAAGTACAGACTGGGATAGCTCTAATCAGCCGATCCAAGGAGGACAACATGACCCCAAATCCATCTCTGGGGCCCATTCCAGCACCAGACAGCAAGATCCGCTCGTTCTGACACCAGCTAAGGAGGGACTTGGAGCAAGTTTAGCGGAGGATGAACAGTTTGGATCACTGACAAATATGGAATCATGACTTGCAGCTTGCTGTGCCACTGCACTCCATTGTCTGCAGTAATGCCCAGCGAATATCCATACCACATCAAAAAATACAGGAAAAACATTACTAAACATGATGCCATGTGTGGGAATCTCTAATCTAATGTATAGATGTGTAATAACTGATGGATTTGAAATTTCAGTGTATAATAAACACTATGAAAATACATTTGATGTAAATACACACGATTCATAGTGTAAGAGAAGTGATGAGTCAACTCTTCTTCTTCAGCTGTTTAAAGCACGCATGGATTATTTTATCCTAAAAAACTATTAATTTTTTCATTCTCAGCTGCTGCAACTCCAACAATGTCGAATTGTAGAGCCATAATTATTTGCTTATGTGGCAGAGGTGGAAATAATCTCAAACCCTGCGATATAATACTAATATAGTACTTCACTCATGATACAATATAATTGGGATTTTTAACATTCTGTGATATTTGAGTATTGAAAAAAACATATTTCTACTTGTCAATATCCGTTTTATCCAATAAGATACATTTATTTCACTTCAGTTATTTTTTTGCTACAAAATGATATTGTGAACCATATCAGTCTGATATCAGTGTGTGAAAGGGGTAAAGCTGGTAATTACCTGCAGCCTGTTTGTGATAATATTGCAATTAATTGTGATACATTTTTGAAAGTCACAAATTTGTTGTGGTCTAGTCCAATCATCTTTCTCCTGGCCTTCTTCAGTTCGATCAGCGTTCACACTGTGTACTTAAAATCTGACTGTGCGTCTGTCATTATCCTTTGCAGACAATTTTGTGCAAACCCACTTAATCCCTATCAGTGCCTGTCATCACGCAGGCTCCATTCATGCCTCTATCTTCATCTCCACCACCAGCGTCTACACTCTTGAGTGTCCTGCCCTAATCCAATCACTGCTGGGGGTGCATTTTGCCAAGATGGGCCATCAGAGTCAAATTACCAAATACCTCTAAATTCTGTACATCAATAAGTCATGTTTGTGATCTCTCCTTATTGAACTATTACATTTGCCCTCAGCACCCGTTTTGCTCTATAGTTATGTAACCAGAATACCATATTATATTTTACAAGTATTCATACTTTTTAAAATTATACTTTTTTTCCAGCTTTCTCTCGCTTTAAACACAATATATTTTATACTAAATTCTTTGTAGATTTGGAATCATAGATTATTTTGGTTTCATGTAATTGAATGTTGTAAATTTGTTTGTGTATTGGGAATGTAAAAGCCCAGAAAGGGACAAGGGTTGAAAATTAGCAGCAGCTCTAAACTGTGCAGAAACGAATGACCGCACATCAGTTTCATGCTCAAAACTGGAATATGTGAAAGTGCATTGCCTCTTTTAAATACATAAATGAATTGAAACCAGCAGGTTGATTTGAGTCCCCTCCAGTTTCTTAAATCAGTTTCATTTTACTTTGCTGCATCAATTTTTCCCGCAACACTATTTTGTGCTATATTAACAAAAAAGACAACGTATGGTACGCAGACAATGTAGACTATTTTTAAATTGAGTTAATTAACTCTTGCTTGCTAAGAAGACATTTACATTTCTAATTTATTAGGCAACAATGATTTGTTTTCAAATCAACAGTCATCCATTGCAATAGTTAATTTAACGTGTTTGTTGGGATCAAATAAGTCAGCTACTTAAACTGACCACTTTATTAGGTATATCTGTTCAATTGTTTGTTCAATTGTTCAATTTTATTGGGTTACATATCTAGTCATCCAATAAAATGGAAGCCAGTTGGTGTAGTCAGTTCAATAAAACATGTGGACATGGTCAAATCGGCCCACCAAAGTTCAAATTGAGCTTGAATCTGGCATAGTTGATGGTATCAGAGGGGCTGCCCTGAGTATCTGAGAAACAGTTGATCTACTGGGATTTTCCTACAGATCCATCTCTAGAGAAGATGGTCAGAAAAAAACCACTTCTCTGGATAAAAATACAATATTGAGGCCAGAAGTCAGAGGAGAATGACCAGACTACTTCAAGCTAATGGGAAAGCAACAGTAACTCAAATAACCACTCATTACAACCGAGGCATCCAAAATACCATTTGTGAAGCAATTGGATTAAAGCAGCAGAAGACCACACCAGGTGGGACTTCTGTCAGCTAAGAGCAGAAAACTTCTAATAATTGAAGAATGGAAAAACACTGTGTTCTAGTGGTAGGGTCAGGGTCAGAATTTGATGTAAACAGCATGAAAGCATGGATCTATCCTCAATTGGATCATCAGCTCAGGCATAGGGATATTTTCTAAGTACAATTTGTGTCCCTTAGTTCTACCTGAGCACTGTTTAAATGACACTTTAAATGACACAGCTGAGCATTGTTGCTGTCCGTGTCCATCCCTTTATGACCAAGGTGTACCCATCTCCTGATGGTTGCTTCCAGCAGAATAATGGACAAAGCTCAAAAAGTCTCCAACTGGTTTCTTGTACATGACAATAAGTTCTCTGTACTCAAATGGTCTCCACAGTCACCAAATCTCAGTGGTGGAGAAGCAGTTTCTCATTAGTAATGTGAAGCTGACAAAAATTTTGCATTACTGTTAGACCTGCCGACAGACCAATAACAGTCATCAGTGGCTATATGCAGACAACACATCCCGATAATGTGGCACGGTCAGCAGCACGGTGGCACGGTGGTTAGCACTGTTGCCGCACAGCAAGAAGGTCCTGAGTTCAATTCCAACATCAGGCTGGGGTCTTTCTGTGTGGAGTTTGCATGTTCTCCCCGTGTTTGCGTGGGTTCCCTCCGGGTACTCCGGCTTTCTCCCACCGTCCAAAGACATGCAGCTTGTGGGGATAGGTTAATTGTCACTAGGTGTGAATGTGCGAATGAATGTGAGTGCGAATGGTTGTCTGTCCCTGTGTGTTGGCCCTGCGACAGACTGGCGACCTGTCCAGGGTGTACCCCGCCTCTCGCCCTATGACAGCTGGGATAGGCTCCAGCGCCCCCCGCGACCCTGAAAATGATAAGCGGAAGCGAATGGATGGATGGACATCCCGATAATTAATAATAAATAGGTTACTGTTTATAGGCAAGAAAAAGCAGTGAACAACCGACGATACAGTTCGAAATATTTGGCCTTTTTAACAGTTAGCTAAAGCTAATCAACTTTTTACTTTTAATTATATTATAATATTCTATCCTTCCACCTTTTCATCCCTGAATTTCACTGCTGGCAAAGACCAGCAATAAGTTGAGCTCACCGTCAACGTCTTCAAAAATTTATCTGAACTCATTGAATTGTTTTGTACAATAAACAAACTAAAATTGTTTTATGCTCATTTGCAAACTATGCCTATTAGTACAACACCTCCTGGCTGTTTAAAATGTTTAAAATGGTTGACTGTAGGTTTATTACAGTTGTTTCCTACTGGATATCCCTCTAACTGGATACTAAGAACAGTTTATTTTGATTAAAAGTAATTTGCCACATTTGTTTATTTGCCTTCTTTTCAAAATCCAGGTTGTTTGAGTTACTGGTTACATGGCTTCCTCTAAGGAAACCCTACGGTTGTTGAGGTAAGAGGAGAGGAATTCATATTTGGAGCCTCTATGTGGTCTGTGCTGTCAGATGTCCCAGACTGTCACTCTTTTCTGTTTTGCATATGGACACTTTACTCATTGTCTATCAGGAACAATTTTACAAATTAAATAGAGGATGTTTGCTATCTGGACTGAAGGCAATTTGATATGCCTACAAAGTGACTACAAGTTAAGGAGAAGGGGCATCTGCTCCTGCGTGCAGAGTCAGAGGAGGAGGCTGGGGCTGAGGCGAGGAAAGTTGCAGGGTGTGGAAGTCCCAGACAGGCTCCATTAGAGGTGTGACCACAGATGGCAAGTTTCACCACTGGGCCACCCAAGTGGAGCTCGCATAGAGTTTATGGGGAGATTTGAGGTATATGACAGGAGACGGATACGGGTGAGATAGAGGAAAACATAATGGTAAACTGGTGAGGCTCTTCAGTTTTGTTGTCATCACAAACAACACTTGAATTAGCTGTTACTGCCTCGTACGTACCATATCCAGAGCTCCAACAGCCTTCCGAAGAGCATCTGCCAGGTTCACAGCTTCCGCCAATCTACCTGTGATAACGCATGCCGATCGTGATAAAGTCTCTGAAAGAGAAGACGTGTGATATTAAAAACACAAAAATGGCAAAACTCTGAACAACAAATAAATCAATCTTGTCACATTTACAAGAGGTACACTTGAAAATTGACATGACTGCACCACAACCTGGCTTGCCTGGAAAATAATTAGGATTTGAGATTGAATATAAATTATCAAAACAGCATTGACTTAATAGTAGCTACAAAACGATCGGTACAGTTATCAGTGATGTGTAGTAAAATATACATCACTGATCATTTTTTCTCGAGAGTTATTTCTGTAAATTTACATCTTTGTTGTCAGTTTGTGTGGGAAAACGTAGCTTATAGACACCCAGACCCTCAGCTACCCTCCATCACCCACCGGACATGGATAAGCAGCAGTTACAAATAGGCGGCAGTCAGAGAGAGACTCGCCCCCAGCTTTTGGCCATTCCTGTGGGGAAATGTGGACTGACAAGCAAATCGACAGCTTTAGGTTTCACAATCAAACAAGTCTTCACTACAACAAACCAAGCCCTCACTTTTGCAGGTATTGCACCAATTTCTCATCTCCTTCCCTCATTTGTAAAGAAAAGCAGAAGATACCTGAAATCCTCTACTTGAGTGGTCTGAATCAAACTGCACTAAAATAAGGTAGGATCCATAAACTTTGCCATAGTTTCAAAACAAGAAAATAAACTTACTCAAAGTCAAAGTTCTTTCTATGACATTATGACATTACACGCTGACACAATACTGCGCTTCTTCAGCTGACACTTTACGGTTGGTAGTAAAATGCAGTGCTCCCTTATTCGCAAGGGTCTGCTAGCCCGGGGCAAACAACATATTATTTATATTGCACGCTCAAAATGCTAAAAATAGCTATAAAAATAGCACTGTAGACAAAGCCTGATTCCTACTTTTCATAGTTATGACAATTAATTTATAGAAAAAAGCATTTGTGAAGTTTTATTATTTTTCCTGAATTCATTAAAGTTAAAGCTAACAAATACTGAACAGCAGCAAGTCCAACATGACTACCTCAATTTGACTTTTATCTTAATTTTAGTGATGGCAAACAGCGTCACCTACTGTGTTGTGGGCCCTTTGAGGATTCAAAGTAGGACTACAAATCAAATTTAAAAGTTCATAGATAAAAATAACACAATTTCACTGTGACATTCATCCCATTACACACTACTGCTGCAGCAAAACAAAGTAAGACTAACTATATTGTTGTTATTTGAAAACCTTCTGTAGAGTAGCCATAAATGTTCAAACAAACACACACACTCTCTCTGTGGTGGCTCTATGCAATCACACAGAAATGCAAACACAAATTGAAACTCTCGTCCGTTTCTTGTACTGACAGATATGAGAACTTTTTTTCCACGTCCTTTCTAAAAATCAAACAATGAATTCATTCACCTCAGAGGCTCTGAGAATAATCACTTATGTCATCATCAAACAGGTACTTGTTGGTCCAGGTGCTGGCGGGGTGAAATATAGTGCTGTGTTTATTTCCATTTCTCTGATTATGATAGTCTCCCTTGTCCTGACTTGCTTTCTATAGTACTCACTGACTGTGTAAATCCACAGTGTTCATCCCAGGCTAAACAATACTACAAAGAATTTCTTCCTTTGAAAACAATAGCCTATTTTAATTCAATGTCACCTATTCACAACTCCAGGCCACACAAAAAGAATGTAGACACTCCTACACTGCTTATTTCTGACCATTTAACCTGTGTGAGAAGACCTAGTGGAAACAACCATTCATGTCTACCTGTCAACATACACATTTTAGATAAGTAAGAGGATGAAAAACTATTGTACTTTGTACTGTACATACAGGAAGCTCTATGAAAGCATATCCACAAAAGAAACTCACCTTTGATAATGGACTCTGCGGCAGCCAAATCCCGTTTGTAGGTCACCTGGAGGACAAAACAACTTGGGTTTATCCAGTCAGTTTACCCAAATGAAAGAAAGGAACATTTTATTTATGGAGATCTGTGCATATTGTTTCAGTTTCATGTGCAGAGATTTTCAGATATCTGCTCCCAGAAACTCGCTGGAATCTTATCTGTGAGCTACACTGACAATTGAGCTGATTATGTTGCTTTTTTCTCAGATTATTAGAAATATTCTCTGATAAAATTAACGTGTTCATCAAATACAAAACAATAGCTGCTGAGTTATTTCAGTGCGAAACACAAATAAAGATTTTGGTTTCACTAGAAATTCATTGACAAGCTGTTGATATATTTCAAGCTGCGCCAAAGTAGTGAATGAATAGACAGACAGACTGAGACTAACATTAATAAAGCCATACATGTGTTTTTCTAAAAACAAAAACAAGCCGTTTAGCTTCAATCAATGATCTGGACCTCAGATTTGGACTTTCCTCCAGTTTCTGCTCATTGTTTTTATGTCATGATGCACTTTCACATCTCTAAAGATTATTCAAATGAGACAATATGATAGTAACTCTGTAACTTCCAGTGGAATAAGCAGCATTTTAAGTATTTAGAAAATTAATTTGACTGAAGAAGATAGCACTTCTGTTAGTTTGCCATAGAATATGTTCCTACTTTGAAAGTAAAACTGAGGTGCTCAAACAACACCACAAATGTATCCCTTGTGCAAAAACAAGCAAAACAAACATCTGAGACTACACTCTGTTTTGTAATGCATTATCTCACAGTTTCATAACACATATACGATTCTTGATTTAGTTTTTGACTCCATAAATATTCAAACTACCTGCTAAAAAAGGGTTAGCGATCCATCGTAACTCTGACTCAGTGGGTCACTGTTGTGCTGCTTTGAGGACCGCAAAGTAAATTCAACCTGTTATAATGGAGCAGAGCCTTCAGCATGTAAAACCAAATTGCTTTCATATCAAGTTAACATTACGTCTAACTGAAAAAAACACGCGTCATTAAGAATGGATCGCACAGAAAACTGAGAAGAAAACGTTAATACAGTAGTTAGCCTAATTTCTATATGCTTATCCTGGATGTCACAGTCAATTTATGTGTGTTTCCTTTTTTGCCAGCACCCACAAACTTTCAATTCATGATTTATCTTTACTCATTTGATAAATCAGTGGCGTGCAGTTGTGCTAGCCAAAATGTCACAAAATCCTCGATCCCAAACCCAAAGCAGGCCCCTGGTGAGCTCACCTTCCACAGTGTTGGCGGACCCTCAATGAGCTTGGCATTGGTGCCACAGTACTGCAGAGCCAGATGGAGACACTCTGTGCCAAACTCGAAGTCTGACTCACTGCACTGCAGAGGGGACACAAGAAAGAGCAGATGCTGTGGACGGTCGCTGACACCAGTGTATTTCCATCAAACTCAGCGGAATGAAGGTACGTGCCGTTGTTCCACCACAGTGTATGCTCTGCTTCACATAAAATATGTTCTTACTAACAGATTTGTACAAAAGTTTGAAAATGTTCTGTTTTGTAATCCTCCTTTTACCACAATCTGAGTTGAGTAACAAGACGATTACTCATATTTAAAGAGCCAGTAAAGGACAAGCAGAAACCTCAGGGTTGAAAAATGAATCCAACACATAAATGTCAAAAACTGCAATTCCTCCAACTGGACACTTGAGGCTGCCTGACTCAGTTCCCATAAACTACCAGGTTAAAATGACCAACGTTAGAGCAGAAATAAGCAGGTTTACAGGTAGGTATGGGTAGTTTCCTACTTCATAACATTTCATTAAGAATATTTCAGTGAGTAAATTATAACTCACCAGTCTGAATGTTGTTAAGGTCTCTATTTTTGTTAGATAAGGGTGTGGACCACTTTGATTAACAGTCGTACCCACAACTCTCAGCCTGTGTTTGTGGTGCTGGGGCCTTTTGAAGCTTTCTTAATTGAATTAATATAGTGTGCTTTGAAGTAGAGAGCATCCAAATAGTATGTGCTCGAATTTTGCACCAATTAGCAGGTACTGCCAGCAGCAAAATATGGTCATCTCTACCTTAAAAATCCCCACGGCATTGTTAAAACACACACTTATCCAGTCCTTTGATGAAGTCATCATGGCTACATCCATCTTTTAGACATAATCTATAGTAGAGGGGCTAAAAATATTAGATTCATGCCTTTGTTGTGAAATCTCAGACAGTGACTGCCAAAACCGTTTTCACCATGTCAGCTAATATCAGAATTATACCAGACAAGAGCCATTTTCAAGCAGTCTTTGTGAAAAGCAGCCCATGCAGAAAGCAAACAGCATTACTTTTCTCCATTGATCCAATCTTCAACACCTACAGTAAAACAAATGTTGCTTAAATCAACACAAAAAGCTTGAAGAACAATCGATCACTTGTTGTATTGTTTGGAGTTTTAAATCATATGTGCTGCCAGAGAGAAATATCTTGTCTTGGGACATCAAAAACACATCCAAACTGTTTATCCTCTGAGGAACGTGAAGAATTAATTAACTCAGTAAGAAAATTTGATTTTTGGCTTCTACTATTGTTCCCATTATTTGTGGACATGTGGTCATTATACCTTGAGATGATTGTCCATGGCCTATGGGGAACCTAAACTTGATTATACCAATTACCAAAATCATAATAAACAACCCCCTGGAGACATTTCATTTCCAACCTAAATTTCCTAGAGATTTAACATGTAGTTGTTGAGAAAGTTCATTGTGCACCAAATTCTTAAACTAGCGAACTGATGACTTCTACGATTTCTACGCTAAGCAGAAGCACCAAATGTGAAACAGTTCTTATAGATACTTCTTGCGTTGACTCTTTTTATTGGTTTGAAAGATTTTAGTTAACTTAGTGCACCTGTGTTTAAGAATTATCTTACATTTTTATTACTAAAAGACTTCAGGTACAATCTAATTTATTATGTACTGCTGGTATGATGTGCAAATTGCTAAATAAGGTACTTCTTTCCTCTGGGCGCTCCTCAGATAAGTTGGCTTTGTGCAGCACAGGTTAGACTTTCAGCTGAAAAGATTTCCATATCTGGAGCCTTTTATTTCACTCTCCATACTGTGACAATGTTTACACAGTAAAGGTTTCATAAAACAAAGCTGCCGTCACCACATTTTTCAACGGATGTTTCACAGGACGCTGTTTTCTTTGGCTAATGCGCTCTTGGAATTGTAGCCCTCTTATCTTTCTGAAATAAGATTTAAAAGGTGCAACACTGGTTTCATCAGGTTCATAAGACATTTTCCCACATTGTTGTGGGAGATGTGATATGTTTTATTTGGTGCTGAAGATGTGGTGTACAGAAATTTTAAAGGAGCATTTTGTTCGTTATTTTGTCCAGGGTAAAAGGTTAGCAGGCTCTGAGGTTTTCGTCTGAAAGAAATTCCTTTAACAATAAATAAATTGTTAAAGGAATGGCCAAAATTGTATGTCTTACAACTGTATCTTTTTTACACTGCAGTGTAAGGACTTCAAAAACTGGTGGATCTTAAAAGTAACCTAGTGAATTGGGTTTTTTGGTTTAAGTTTTATAGTTTAGGGGGTTTTTTGTTTGCAATTCAACTCAGCTTCCAGAGAGATTTTGCCTCTTTCAGTTTAGTTTTCATTGTTTTGAAAGACTTTAGCTTTAGTTTTACTCTTATATGTTACAGCGTGAGTTTTAGTTTAGGTTGGCGTATACGTTACATGGAAAAAAGTATTGGCCATCTACACATTACGCCTATAGAAGCTGCTTGACAATGGAAACCCATGCCTTGAAGGTCCCTGCACACAGTCTTATGCTGATGTTAATACCAGTGTAGGATAGGATCTCTGCAATTACAGTGTCACCAGAGTCTTTTATTCCCTGTATGCTTCAGCACTCAGTCACTCTGTAACTCTATGTGGTCTGTCACTTCACTTACACAATATATTACAGTACCACACTCAGATTTCATGAACTCTGTAGACCAGTGGTTCCCAAACTTTTTTTTTTTACTAGGCCCCCCTTTGTTTTACAATAAAAATGTTCGCGCCCCCTCACCACCTAAACACCCACCACCCGCACAAACACATCCTCCAACCACACACACCCATATTTTGTTTTCAAACTCCATTGCGGTTTATTTCACTCCTCAACCATTTAGTAAACAATTAAGCAGATACAAGTAAACTGCAATAAATTACATTACTAACTCTTTTACAATACGTCCACACCCACATGGGTATTTTTAAAAACGCAGCTGTTTCTGTGCGTTTGGGTCTTTCGTCCACAAGTAAACGACGTTTCGTTCACACGTAAATGGTGTTTCGAATCACTGAAAACTGAGATTTTTTAAAACTCCTTTTTTGCGTTTACGTGTGGACGAGGAATACAGAGTTCGTCACGCAACGTCAAAGGTATGTGCCTTTTTTCACGTCACGCTGTGCGCCACGTTATTGTTTACATGAGATGAATTGCAGAATGGCAGATAGAGACAAAATACTGTTACTGTTAATCTGACTATCTTCAGGTTTTATATACACACGCAGTTACTGTTCCTCCAGACTGCATGGCTAGGTGACTGAATGTATACACCTGCATCAATGGGACTGAAAAGACCTGAATTCAGAGATTAATAGGTGTGCCCCTGTAATTTTGTCCATGTAGTGTAGTTTTCAGGGGCACAATTTAAGTGTCTGAAAACATGGATTACATTAAAAATGACCGACTCACTGTAATGTAAAGGTCACAGTTGCAATAAAGATAATCACTAAAGCCTCCTCAGGATGGTTTTCTTGTTTTGACCAAATTGACCGAGAGTAAAACTAAAGTCATTGTCTATACATACATTTAATTTTAATTAGCTATCTTAAGAACACAGTACTGTTTTACTTAGTTTTTATTATTTCAGTTTAAAAAATAAAAGGTCTAGCTTTAATTAGGCAAAAAAGACCTTGGGTTATAGCAAAGAGTTGCTTAAGAACACATCCAGCAGATACGAACCAACATTAAACAGCACTGAATAACAATATCAACTTCAAGGAAAATACTTCCATATTTAGCTGCTAAATTCTTCACTAACTGTGTCTGCTTGCTGTTTGGGTCAAAGCAGGTAGAGTGCAATGGGTTTATATGAGCTTTTTTTGCTGTCTTTTGCTGGAAACTATGCTGATTAGAGCAATTAGACTCATGTTCTAGTGTTTTTATGTCCTTGTTACTCTGTGTCTAAACTCATTAGAGTTCATTTTAACAATGAATATTTTATTTGTGCTTTGCTGGCTCCGTTTCTGAAGATCACATGCAAGTTTGGATTGAGGCGATGAGGTTTTCTCTACTACAAAGACAAATTCAGGCTACCTGAGATTATAGCAGGGTAATATTTTATCAAGCTATAAAAGAGAGGGGAGTCTTTTATATCTGGGACCATGGAACTGCAGAGAGAAATTACAGAAGAAATATGCTCTTGGTTTTGTGGTAATTTAACCTTTAGCATTTTCTCCTGGTACAAAGGCTCTTGCTGGGGACTGGATAAAGTGTCCTCCCTTTTGTCTTTTCAGCCCTGAGTTCTTCTGCTTTCAATAGATGTCAAGCTACAAATGAGCAGCTCTAGAGATTTTTCATGTGCATGTCCTAGAGTCTTAACCTGACAGACACCTTACACTTTCCCTTCTTTTGAAAAGATTGAAAAGGAGGCGAGGGGGACGCAATCTTACTCGACCTCCTTCTCCAGTGTGCCTTGAAAATACTGCAGAAAAGTGAGCTCATTTTCTGAGAAGGCCAAAGCCAACAGGCCTCTCAGAGCAATCTGAAGATCCATGTGTGCCAGGAGTAAAAATAACTGCAGACACACGGCGCTCCAATTTAAGGCATACTTAACGTCTTAGCTCAAAGTTTGCCGTGCCCTTGAAAAAAGTGACTATCGGAAGAACCCTCTAATGAAGTAAAGGTTGAAATAGCAAACTGGGAGCGTCTGAAAAATAAATAAGGTCAACTTCATCGACTTAAGTTTCACATTTCGTTGGCCCACTACGTTTTAGCAATAAACTTCTGCTTTCAGAGAACAATTAACGCATTTACAGTTTACGTCAGCGTATAATTCTTTCCATTTTTCAGGTACACATTGTAAAACACCCTATACATGCGAGAACATTCATCTGAATCCACCTAGACGTTTCGTGTAATTTCAGTCCTATGTTACCATTTTTCCAACTTAGCCTTTGTTCACTTTTGTTCCACAAACTAATCTTCTGCACTGTGGCAGAATATAATCGTGTGTGATTTCTTTCCTAGATGCAGATGAGGCCAAGAGAAAGTGATAGCACCCATGCCACAAGCTCTTCAGAGTGAAACCCTGCAGGTTCTGGCATATCAGCTGAACCATGAAGGACTATAAGGGTCTGTTATGATGTATGGGAATCATAAAGCCCTTTGTCATCCAAAGGGCTTTATGTCATAAAGCCCTTTGGATGACATGGATGACTGGCCATAAATCACCAGTCATCCATGTCATTTATACAAAAATTTACTTTTAATTGTATATTTTGGATTACTTTTCAAGTCCTAAGAGAATTTTTTGCCAATTTTGAAGTTGACCTATTTTGTTTTGTCTTTTCTTTCATTCAAGTTTTAGATAATAAGCTCAGCCTGTTTTTCTACTCTGAGCTATGTATGATGTCAATGAGAGCAGATATCCCTAATATAGTCATCTCAGGCAACAAGCTTCGACTGTGAGCATAGAAGGACCACTACTTTCTATTTACATGCAGCAGCAAATCAAAAGGAAGTTTCTTAAAAGGTAGGGGAACCCACTGGAAAATCAATGAGGTTGGGCTAAGGAAATTTCTATTGTTATTTATAAAGTTGCGACAATTGTGTGGCATCAAGTAATATTTTCTCTGGTTGAAAATACCATTGTACTAACAGCTAAAATTAATCTTTAGCAAAACAGTCTAAGGACCTTGGAAAGAAAAGTGTCTGGACTTCTTTAGATTTCTTGAAGACGTTTCACCTCTCATCCAAGAAGCGTCTTCAGCTCTAAGAGCAATTGGTGGAGAGTCCCAGATTTTAAGCCCTATGGGAGTGTCCCCCAAGAGGGTCATGGATCCCCTATTGATCCTCTACCACACACAAGCCAAGGTCTGAAGATCACAATCAACCAGGGTTTCGGGTGAACCCATTGTGAAGTCTAGCCCCACCCTATCATGTAATTTCCTAAGGTCAACAGGCCCAGGATGTGAGTGGACATTAAGGGGTCTGGGAAGGGATCTCAAAACTGGATTATAGATGGCAGACAGTTGGTGCCATAAACCACAGAGGCGGTTCACAGTGGACATAGATGGCTTCTTTCACTCTTTCAAACCATATTTCTTCTCTGTCCAAAATGTGAACATTGTGTATGAAGTACAAGGTGGAAAAACAAAGACCAAAAGTGAAAGAGATAAACTGTGGTTAAACATCAATATTTAAACTAATGTGTACCCTCAGTCACCTTTGAAAGTGGGGTGAGGAGCCAGCCTTCACAGAAAAGCGCCAAATATGGTGAAAAAGGCACACAGTTACAGACGATCTGTCCTGAAAGGAATTACAAAACAAACTACAAGAAAAAGAAAAGCTCATATCCAGCTTGTTTTTCCACCTCCCACACTTGACCAATCAATGTGTGAAGTGGGTGTTACAGAAATGGTCGCACACAGACCTGTGTTTACAGCAAGACTTGACAGTCAAGTATTTCGTTTTTTTCTTTTTGTAAACTGAAATCTTAGCTAAATACAGAATGTCAGGTTTCTTTTTATCGTGCATATAACTGCATCAAACCAGAAAGACCTGAAACAAGATGCCTCAAACAGCCCATTTGTTTGTTAAAGATACATCAGAGTATAGGTCCTACCCTCTGATAGGCCTGAGAGATGACATCATATGTAAATCCTTGAGGCATCTCGCTGGCTCTGTACTTGGCTCTCTCCAAAGAGTGGTCTAGGTAGCCCTCGGATGTGGTGGCGATCACTGTGGAAACAAGAGGTCGGATAGCTCCCGCTGCCTGTTT